GAAGTATCAGTTTTCGACACAGAGGCTTTCTGGTCGTTTCCAGAATTTTCTACGGCCCGGAATTTGTCCAGTTTCACTTCTTCACGTGCGCAGCGCCAGGAAATGGAGCCTACCCTGGACGAGAAATCATCCGAGTTCCTTTTAAAAGCATCCTTGCTCTATCAGGATACGTGCCCAGGCCTGTCCCGGTCTTTGTTGTAAGAAATTTTGCTTATAATCCGTCATGAGGAACACATTTATATCTGATTCCATGCTTTATGTTCTGTGTTGTTGTAATAGCTGCCTGTGGCCGCTAGGTGGAAGAAGTCAACCGCCATTGAGTTTTCATGTATTCTGTTACTGTACACTGGAAACGTTGCTTTTTTACAATATTTCACAGAGAGGCATCAAACCTATTTTGAAATGTATACCTCCATGACTATTTTTTGATGTGATTCAAAACAGGCTTGCTTTAGTTGTGAGCCCAGTGGTGGTTGTGTCCCTCCTGTCTGCTGATGTTCTCATTACACAAGTGGCTTTTTGGAGCTGGACAGGAGCCATTTGTGGGTCCCGTGGCTGTTCATGTGTTTTAGGTGTTGTGGACAAGTCGGTGGTTCATCTGCGACAGCTTGAGTTGGGACTTCACTGTAGTTGAGTCTAGCACAATTAAATAGTTTTTACTGAGTTAAAGCATTTCCCGAACAAGCATAAAGTGAGAAGTTACCTCCAATTGTCACGCAGAGGAGCCAGAAAGTCTGCATGCATCATCTGTTTTCTATTCTGTGTTGTCCCCATGTTTATAGTACTGATGACTATCCATGTTAACATAGATTCGTAGTTTATATGCTTTTGGTTTTGTGTTGAATTACAGAGCTGGAAATCCACCTCGTGATAATTTCCCTCTTTTTTGTTGCACTATATATTCTTTTCTCTCAAAACTATAACAGACTTTACTGTTACTTTCTAATGTTGTTTTTAATTCTCCATTTCTGGGGTGGAAGTCATACTTCTTATATGGTTTCAGATTGTCTTGGCAGGACCTGAGAGCAGTCATTTTAGATGACCATGGCCCTCTCCCTCTATTAAATGAATCTTGGGAATGATACATCGAAATGAAGGAAACATCTCCATGCTCGTGTAGACTTTTGTGGTTGTTTTTGCTTCCAGCCGTGTCCTCATATCCTCCGGCTTATATTTGACCAGAGCCAAGAAATTGGTGGGCAAAGCCACATATGGAAACAAAAACACAGGTTACTACTGAAACCCAGATTTTATGTTTAAATGTCCGGCGGGAAAGACACCGCCGTTGGCCCTGGAGCGAGATTTCCTTCTGGCATGATGAGATAATTGCACGAGCTTTGACCAAAGGGATCACATGACAGCCAGAGCAATTGGTGCAAAATGATTGCTATTAATTCCCATTTTGAACTACCACTCCGTCAAGAATGAGGGGAAAAAATAGCAGGAATGCTATTTATGGCGTGGATTCAAACTGGCCCAGCAGAGCCTCAGCTGCCCGTCTGAGTTTCTGGGGGCTTTCCACCTCCGCGTCGGTTAGTCTTGTGTCATAAAACACCCTCACTGGACTCCGTCCCCTTCTGTCATGTATCAGTGTGTGTTTTTCCTTTGGACCACTGATTGGTGAAAAGACGAACTGAAAAACAAAGATGGCTGAAAGTGAGTTTTTTTTTTTTTTTTTCGATATCTCTAATTAACTGGATGACTGCTTCCTCTGTGTGAAATATCAAACGTGATGATACAATTTCACAGGAGCGAGAGGAACATATTCAAATCATCTGTTCAGTCCCGCTGAGGGTGTCAAGACGAGAGATGTTTAATTCATGAACGCTTGTCGATGAGAGGCATCAGATGCTCTTATTTGATGTTTGAGAGCCTGGAACCCGCCATCGCTGAAACGCGATCAGACGGAGGGATCGTTCCCAGCTGGTTTTGTCTCACTTGACTTATCAGTCAGTCAAAATAAAAATGAGTTGTGGGAAAAACTCATTAATTCTCGCGGAAATAGTCGAGCCTGCTCGATGTGTTTTCCCTACTTATAAGGAGCGCTTTCAAAAACATATACAGAAATTGTCAATTTTATAAGCACTCTTAAAAGTGTTCATGGTAGAAATAATTTTACATAAAGTGCAGTATCATGGGCAGGAAGGTTCTTTTGTTTAGCCTTGTTGTTAGTTTTGTTTTTTGTTTTTTTCTACTTATTTATGGTTTTCTTTCTGACACCCATTTTACACAAACTTTTTTTTTAAACTAACGGTAATGGAAGGTCTAACATCTTCCACCTGTTGCTTCTCTAACCAGCCGCCAGCCACCATCTGCAAAACCTTTTTCCACTCAAGCTCTTCATCCTCTATCGGCGTTCATGTTTTTTGAGGGCGATATCGCTTATGCCACCCTCTCGGCGACAACCAGCAGACGCGATTGCATCTTCAAACGGCGAGGCTCCAGCTGGCCGCGGCCGCGTGGGGAACGGGAGCGAGCCTTTCCCTGCTTCAGTGTGAATCACAGAGCAGGCGTCTCTGCAATCTGTGTGCCGGGAAAGTTTGTCTCAATGAGTTACAGTCAACCGTGACTCTTCCTTACAGGGAGCGCTTTGTTTTCCCCTTATGGTGGCAATAAAACCATCATCATGCTTTTTCTTCCCCGTCACTCCAGCGACACTGTCTCTGATTTCAGATTTGACTCGCTCTCACTATTACCGCAGCTCTCCTGAATGCATTCCCAGCTCTGAGTAGTTCATGTTGAGGGCCCACATCTTCGGTATTTATCGCCTCAGCCAAGTATGCTCTTAAACGGAGAGGCATGGCAAGTATGTTAATTAGATTGATGCCGTGGGATTCGTCTTTGTGGTGTCCAGTTTCCGAGGGCCCGTTCACCATCGGAGTTGGAGGAAGAGAGAATCCTCCATGAATTGGAACGTTTCTACCCTTTGAGGGCTTCCTGAGGACCAGGTTTTTCTGCCCGAATGCCTGAGGGTGACTGTCATCACTCCCAGTGTTTCCCCCGAGAGGGCGTCCGTATAATCTCGAATTCGAATCCGGCGGCTTATTATTAGAACTGGAGGGGGATCAGTGGCTTATTCAGCAGATCCGTTTCCCCCGCTGTGCGTCCAGCTCAATCCAGCCCGGCCCAGCTGTGTAATTCCCACTCGCACGGACGGCCGGGGTTGAAAATGCAGGTGGAATGTCTGCAGCCGCTGCAGCCGTCCAGGGGTCAAGTCCAGATTAAGGTTGAGCCCTGCCCCCCCCCCCCCACGTCGTCTCTATAAGCTCACCCGACCCCCTCACACGTGCTGCCAGACAACAAGCGTCCCGTCTTCGTGCTAATTTTAGCGGAGCTTAGCCGCGGTTTGATTCGGGCCTTTGCAGAAATATCTCATTGAGAGTTTTCTAAAAGCGGAAGCAGGCCATAAATAGCCCTCTGCGATGCCCCGTATTGTTTGGGAGAGACCCCTCCGCCTTTCCGGTGGCTTGTTTTCCACTACAGCATAATGGAAATTGATGTCAGCGGCAAACTATTTTTTTTCCTAGATTGATTTTTCCATCTCGTAATGGGTTTTGATGTTTCCGGAAAACGCGTTCGGCGCAAACGCTGCAATATCTTTTATTTAAGAAGAGGAGCGAGAATCACATTTGCATAAAGTGATTGGGAAGGCAGCTCTTTAAAATGTCTGAATATTCAAGTTGATCTGCATACAAAAGCTTCTCGTTTCCCCAGAATCAGAATGTGCCATGAAACTGTAGCTGTACTAAAATGATTTTTAGTTCTTTTTTTCTTTCCGTTTTAACCTGATCTTCTCTCTTTTCTCTTATCCAGGAGGCGGCCGATGAACAGTACTGGTAAGTTCAGAGATCTCTTCATCCATGAACAGTTTCTCTCCCCCCCTTTGAAATTCTCATCTGACAGCGTGTGCACCACAGATGCGGAGCGCTCTAGTTCGTAAGGCCTTTTTCTCCACCCTGTCAAGGCTGATGAAACTCAAAATCCTGCCAGCTGTTTGGAGCCGACCGCGCGTCGGGATGAAACGCGCTCCGGCGTGCTCCCAGACACGCGTCAGCCAAAAAACCGCATCAGCAGGCAGAGGTGCGGCTCACCGAGGCTTTTCTGAGGGCTTTTCTCCTCAAAAAAGCTCCGGCGTTAGCCCCTGAGAGAGTTAGCAGAAGTTTGCTCAGAAGTCGATTTTTTTGGGGGGAACATAACGTTCCTTGTGCCAGGAACTGCTATATATAACTATAGAAGAATAAACACAACGTTTCTGACTGACAGATACGCTGAAATGTGGTTTGTTTTCCTTTACAAAGGAAATAAGGAACTCTGCAATTACGAGCCGTCATATCTCAGAATCTTCTAACAATGAGGATTCGAGTTCCTGCCTGCACTGTCAGTAAAGGAAGCAGCTAATTGTACCTTCAGGGTTCCAGACGCTCGTCACTAGGACGGGGCTCCCATAGCTCCCTCTAGTTTATACATTTAGTAAGTGAGATCATTTATGTTCCTTTCGGGGGGTCTAAAAGTACAAATATGTGCCTTGGGATCCAGTTATAAGTCATATAGAGTACATACAGTGGGGGAAATAAGTATTTGACCCCTTGCTGATTTTGCAAGTTTGCCCACTTACAAAGAATGCAACGATCTATATCTTTAATCATATGTACATTCTAACAGTGAGAGACAGAATCCCAAAGAAAATTCCAGAAAATTACATCATATCAATCAATCAATCAATGTTTATTTATATAGCACTTTACAACAGCTGGAGCTGATCAAAGTGCTTAACAGAATAAAAAACAAATCAAACTATCGAACAATACAGACAAAATTCCAGAAAATCACATCATATGATTTTATAAAAATTGATAACCATCTGATGAGGAAAAATAAGGATTCTTTGTAAGTGGGCAAACCTGCAAAATCAGCAAGGGGGTCAAATACTTATTTCCTCCACTGTATATTAATAAAGTACTTCAGCAGACGTGGATGTATTCCTATTTTTGCTCCATTTTTTGGGTGTTGTATGGAAGGCAGAGTTACTCATTAGATCGTTTGTCGCCTCCGTTTCAGAACGACAGAAGAAAAAAGTCCCCGACCTGTCGGAGAGCACGTCCGTGTGCCGGTTCTGCTACCAGTGGCTGAAGCCGGACAACCACCGGGTGCGTCTGCGGCCGAAGCGGCGTCCCTCCGCCCGGGAGCAGAGCGTCCTGCTCAGGAGGGCCCGGGGAAAACGCCTGAGCCTGGCGCAGAGAAACCTGCTGCTCCGCTTCCAGAGGGCGTCGTCGGGTCTGGTGAGGACGCAAAACCCCACGAAAAACTGTTTTCCAATGAAATCGAGAACGATAAGAATGAGCCTTGATTTAAAAAATGGCAGATTTAGATCCTGTTACAATGTGAATGACTTACTCCAGTTGAACTAAAGAACATACCTCTCCTCCTTTTCTACACAGATCTGTGTGGGGTCAGTCAGATCAGTTCAAATTATATTGATGAGAAATTAATTGAAGACATCTTATGTATTGGTTGGGTTTGTCATTGCTGAGTATTCCGTCAAAATGTAACCATGGAGCTAAATCTGTGGGATCCATTTTAGCACAATGCAGGCTTGAATTTGCTCTGAAAAGTGATCAGAATTTCCCATTTGGGATGCTATTAATTTAGATAACTTAGGAAGATCTGTATTGTATGCTTAAGGGTTATTACCATCCATCTTTTGCTGTTTAGATCAGTGGTGTCATCAGTACACACGCCACAGGTTTGGCTGTGATGGAGCATCTGACAGCTGACATTAACCTAATGCGGCTTTTAGTGGGAAAAATACTGATTGTAGCGTCGTCAAACCAAGCACACAGTGTTCCCAGGCCTTCTATTTTTATTCCAATAGGTGTGCTGGTTCTGAGGGTGAGTGGACATTTAAAGACGGATTAAGTGAACAGCAATGAAAGAAGAAGAGAAAAACACAAAAGGCACAGAAATAGAGAAAAACGGAGTTATGATTCTTTCACTGCTCTTTGACAGCTGAAATGACTCAACAATGAACATTTTTAAAATTGGTTTATGCTGTTTTTTTACCTTAATTGGATTCAGATATAAGAGAATTGCCGCAGGTTGTGAACAGTAAACTCTAAAGTTTGCTGTCCAGCTCAGGGCTGAATGCTGAACTCTGCTGCCCTTACGCAGCAGGTTTCACTCTCAGGTCCCGTCTTGACCCCCCCACCCCTCCCCCCCCACTCCCACCCCTCCTCCTGCTCATGTGTCTGCAGCCATCACAACAGAGAATGTTGACGCTGGACTTCAGCACGTGGCTCTCTGGTGAGCCAGTCCAGGCCAGGAATGTCCTGCAAGATATTTTTACTTTGTTTTCATGGTCACTGGCTTGGGGGGTTGGATGGGGCGGGGAATGGGGGGGGGCTCGGTCCAGAGGCATCAAGTCTGGCCACGTCCGTGCCTCTGTGTGCGTGTTGGCTCAGTCAGGGGACAGCAGCAAGCCCATTGGTGGAAGGGGGGGGGGGGGAAAAGGGGGGGAATTTGGAAAGCGCCCCTTTCTTTTAGCCTCCAGGTTGGATGGTGATAAGCAGAGCATAGCAACGGTGGCAGGACAAGGGGCTGCACTCAGCAGTCTGAAAACAGACTCAGGACGCACTGCTCTTTGTTTCCAGAAGTACACAACACGCACACGCACATGCACGCACGTGCTTTTGTTTCTTTCTCTCTACTCCGGTGCAGCCAGATTCCCGCTCCGGTTTCTGTTCAAACACTGGGATGGAGGGGTTGGTTTTCATTTCAATCATCCACAGTAACAGATTCCATCACTCTCCAATCTCACTATTCTGATTAGTTTCGTGTTGTTTTTCCACACGCCGAATTTCATTCATGAATCATTTGTACGCGTCCGTACGTGTTGCTCACAATCGTTCCTCACCCCGCCTCGTATTTGCATGTTTATTTACAGTCAATTTCTGTCTGACACAGACATGTGACCAATGCATACGGATACGCTCCCACACATGAGCCGTTTGGAGTATTTATACTTCAGGCTGTAAATCCCCTTCATTTCACACCATATTGCTTTTCCTTTGGGATGGATGTGTGTGCCGCCCCTGGGATGAATCCCAGCGCATGAGAGCTTTTTCCTCGGCTCTGTGTCTTAGAGGTATTATAAATCAGATCTGTTTATGCATGCTGGGCAGGTTATCTAGCAGCGGATGTGGAAAAGAGTTGGATTGCTGCCTCATGAAAGAGACAGAGACCCTAAATGGAGCTGAGAAGCACAGCATATTCCCCGCCTTCCCTCCCCGTTTTACTCATTGAGAACACATTTAATTGTTGTGTTTTCACTCGTCTCGTGTCCCCGGCTTCTCAAAGGAGTTTTGTTTTCCTTAATCAATAATTGCTCAGTGTAGTTGATAGTCTTTTTCATATTTTGCTTCTTAGATGGATACACTTGAACATCACACATCACTTTTATTTTATTATGCAAAATTGCATTTTTTAAAACTTAATTGGAATCTTTTCATGAAAGGGGAAGAAAAATAGAAACGAACAGTTTCTCTATAAGCAGTGGGGAAAATCATTCCTCTTTCTGTTTCAAGCCACTACTTTTTGGTGACTTTTTTGATGCCCTCCCCCCATCTCTTTCTTTCCTTTTCTGTTTTCCTTCAGCTCATCAGCCTCATTGCCCCGGTCCCCTCTTTCATCATCCTCATCTTTTGTGTTGTGCGTCCTCTTTGTGGCCATCGCTTTCCGCCCTGATCGTCTTTGAAGGAACGCGGGCCTCCTGCGGAGATAACAGGAAGCGGGAGGCAGCTGCGTCCGCGTGGTGCTTTGCCAATTTAATCTTGGAGAAAAGCAAAAAAAAAAAAAAAGCTTTTTGCTGGCGAGGGAGGGCGTCGCATATATCATCACATAAAAGCATGACAAGACTTCTCGGCGAAAGAGAATGGCTCGACGCTGGGAGATGGAACTCAGCAGGAAGTGGAAACACTCAACTGTTTGGCTCTGAAAGCACGCTGATGTGCACTCATTCAGAAACGCCGACACCCTGTCGGAAACTGGCGGTGTTTGGATCCTCTGAGTCACCAGAATCTGCAGCGCACATCCCTCCTGTAAGCGTATCTGTCAGCGTGTGTGCACGTTAACGTTGTTCACGCAGCTACACGTGCAGCTCCGCCTGTAATAACGGGGAATTTCTAAATTCAGAACCTGCCTTCAAGCCGTTCAGTTTATTCTGAGACACAGCTGCAACCTGAAACACAGCTGGGTCCTCCAGGTGTGACTCCAGGTCCAGGAAGTGAGCAGCCTGTGAGCCGGAGCACAGACTTTTAAGTTGTCAGAGAATTCCCCTTGGCCTCCATGTAAAATAAGATGGATTGTTTTTCTGATTTTGTCAATTAACACCAATGTTATTTTCAGACCAAAATAGATACTAAATACTCTTTTTTTTTTTAGGCGTCAGTTTTATTTTTACAGTCTCCTTGGACCAAAAGCTGTGAAGACATTTTGGCACGAGAGAATAAAAAAGAATAACATCTGGATGAATAGACAGTAGGAAACTAATAGATTTAAGGCAAAACTCTTATTTGTGGAAATTTAAACGATTTCCACTTATGTGTCACTATGTGTTTCAGGGCAGATGTAAATGTGAACTTTACCAACAGCAACATAGACCAAAAGAATGGGAGTGATTTTTTTTTAATGGCGGCATGCAGGAGCTCTGCATTTGGATCGAGTTTCCCTGCTTTTAGCGGGCTGCTGGTTCCCAGTCCCAGTGAAGGGCAGTGGCTAGAGGAAAGGCTTCGCTTCCATATTGATCCTCTAGCAGCTCTTCTGCTTTCAGGCCTGTTGCGTGCATGGATTTGCTCTAGAATTACTCTCATTCGCGGGTCGGGATTGCTGTTCTCCGCCTCAATATTTGGGACTGATTATCTACGTGAGGGAACTCTAATCCTGTCACTCACTCTGTTATTTTGCTCCTCTTCATCCTCCTGTGCGTATCATGCTTCCAAGTTCAAATTAATCAACCTAAGCTGACCTCTGGCAGTGGAGAGGAAGGCAGGGAGAGAGATATTTATGGAGCCCCGGCTAAAAATAGAGCGGGTCCATCTGCATTATTGATTTCTGTGGTTCTGTGGATGTTTGTCCCCCACCATCGTTTGACATGTCACAGTTTCTTTCTTGTAATCAGTCTAATGAAATATACAGCACGAATCGAAAACATTTAGAGGTGGACAGACCTGGAAGCTTCCAGAGACTTGTTGGCTTTACCGGGTCACAGATGGACCGTCAGGCGAAATAAAGCTGTACATATCTATCAGCAGTTGTCATTTTTATGACGGTCCGCGGCCCTTTTGTGAAAGCTGATGCTGTCCCACTGCCGCATTCACGAATATGAATATTGCTCGTATTTCAATCTGGAGATGTCAAGAAACTTAGACAGATTAGTCTGATCTGTGCTCATGATAGCACAATGGACATTCAAACAGCATATGTCTTCATAGCTGCGTGTTTTTTTTTTTTTTTCCCCCATGATTAATTGGTTGGACAACAGTCACTGACACTCCTGGACCACGCATGGCTGCCGGAGCTAAACACCAGTGATGTATTTGCACAGGATCGAGGATAAGTGCATCTGTCATTGTCGCGGTCTGTGCTGGCTCACATTTTGTTTAAAAAAAGAAAAAAGCAATCTAATAAAACATATCGAGCGTGTATCATCTGAAACGGGCGTCAGGCGTCTCCATTAGTTACTTTGAGTGTTCGGTGCAGCACCAGAAGCCTTAAAGTCGAGTCATTTGTTCTCCATCCGGCCATATGTTCCGCCCAGATTTCCCACAGCTGTGTATAGATTGCCGCTTATCCTCTTGCCCCTCAAAGCTCCAACTTTTGACATCTGCCGCACGCTTAATTGGTCTCTGTGCAGGTTCGCTTTTCTGCCAAAATCCCAAGATGAGAAAACGGGATGTCTTCTCGGGGGCCTGCTCACGTGCGCTTCCCTCCGAGTGCAAACGCCACATGTGGAAGGATTAGCGTAAATGAAATGGGTCCACGTGAGGGTCGGATTGGACCTCCGCTTATAGACATTTTTTTAATACCCACAATGCCAAACGTTGTTAAGGGGGGACAGGGTTCATTTTTAGATGTTTGTCTAGTGTACGATTAGTTTGTCCAGAGACCGATCCATTCACTCTCGGCCTCTCCTCTTCCTCCTTTATCTCTGTGACTCAGTTTTGGGCCAGATGATGGAAGTCGTTGGTAACCAGAGGACAGAGGGATAAACTACGTGAGGTCATTCTGGCTGCAAACATCCATCCGTGACCCGCTGTCAGACCGTCACCTAAATCTCCACCGTTTTAATCACGTAAAAATCTGTAAACTTATTGTGACGGCCCGAGAATTTAGAGGAACAGGAACAGACATTCGCTCTGGGGCCGTTAACCTCCGGCTTCCTGTTCGGTTTGATTAGATTAAGCTCCGATGTGCTGCAGGGGAAATTGGTTTTGTTGTTGTGGGAATAACAAGAACTATTGACGGGAAGGTTTGAAAGAAAGAAACTACAGCTCATCAAATCACTTTGAATTATGTTGAAATTGCTGCAAGATAGGGATGTGTCTGTCTTTCACTTTTACACGTTCAAAAACATGTTCTCAGCACTGGCATCTTTTTAAATTTTTATTTGTAGCTTTTGTTTTTGGTGGTTTTCTATTCGAACCTAACAAAAGATGCTGCAGGCTGGTTGTGCAGAAGACGCCTCACTGAGTTTTTTTCTGAACACACACACACTCCATACATTTTTAAATGTTATACACCTTAAAGTCACGTATTTTCGAACAGCTTTATCGGCATCATCAGGATTTTTGGGAGCAATTACAGTTTGTTTTTGCTTTTGAGTACATTGAGATAAGATTTATTAAAATGGATTTTAATATTGGACATTTTCTTTCAAAGTTGCCATTTATCTTCTGTTTGTGAGTTCAACTCAGTTTTGTTTATCCGTCCAATAAGGTTGACGTAACTCTTTGACTGTTGATAAAAGGCCAAATATTCTAATCATTTCGCCTGACTGTGGTCACATGATAGCATGAGCTATCAGATTTGTTACTTTTCGACGTGTTGACCACTACACACAAACAACTATTTGTTTTTCTTATTATATAATATGTTCTCTGAAATGCTTGTACCCACTGAGTCTATTCATTAACATTCAGAACGGATAGTTTTTGCAAGAGGAAATAGTATCATGAGGGCTCTGGTCAGTTTCACATGTTCATCTGAGCTGCCCTGTTCCCGAGCATTGGTCAGCCCCCCGTTTGAGCCACACCCCTGCCCAAAGGTGGGAGGGTCAGCTGCAGGGGTTTGGTCTTTATAAAGCCGGACGTGCAAGCCGGGGTTGTAAACACTTGATGCAAAGTCGGGCAGAGAGACAGAAGAAGTCAGAGCTCCAGCTCCAGCGAAACCCAACTCTCCGCCACTCTCTCCCAACCTGAAATGGCCACCTTCGTGTCGGTGAGTTTCCATCCCATCATCAGTCAGGACTGTCGGCAGCTCTGCTCAGATTTGCTGAGCCACAAATTGGTAACTGGTTCTAACCAGTTTTTCCTCCATCAACTCTGGATGACTTGTGTCTCTGGTGGATTCAAGTTACAGAAGGTCCAGCAGACATTTGAAAAGGGGTTTAATCAGCACTTTCCAAGTTTTCTGCAGGAAAAACGAGTTTAATTTACTTTTTCTGCTGCTGAATAAGTTAGTTTAAGCATCTTGCTGCTACTGAAAACCCTTCCTGTAGCTCATATCATCTGTATATATTTGTTTCGCAGTAATTTATGTTTTGGTAGCTTCATATTTGTAAAGAATCGTGTTGAAATTGGGCAAAAGTTTTCTTGTCTAATAGTTATTAGGATGCATCTTGTGCTGTTTAAGCTCCACTGCCAGGTCTGTTTTATTAAATGTTCAGATGACTAACCAATTAAGTTATTATTTAATTGCGGTGCATTTCATAACAGTGTTGCTTTTCCAAAAGCCCAACGACAAGCACTGATCTGTTTACTGAACCAAGGTGGCGAGGGGGGTCTCAGATGCCCGCCGCCGAGTGGAATCATGAGGATCTTATAAACTGAGCAATGCACCTTGTGACTCTCCCTAAAGTCTCCGTGCTTTTCCTGGTGCAAGGCTGCATGTGTAAAATGTGTCAGCAGATGACCTTGATTTTTCTCTCTTTAAGTTCAGGCATGAGTAAACTCGCCCGGAGCAAATTCAAGCAAATTGTCTTGTTTTAAAAAAAAAAAAAAGAAAGGAAAGGAAGCCGACCATTCGAAGCATCTGCATCCTGAATAGCTGAAACCGCGCAGCAACAGTCTCGACTTATCCCTCTCCTGTGCAGCTATTTTCATGTCCGTGCCTTTGCTCGGAGGTGAAATAATGTTTGGCAAGACTAGAAAAAAGAGCCCCGGCTGTTAAGTCCTCCGAGTCGGCAGCATTCGCAGCTGACGGGAGCAGAGCTTTGACATGCCAGCAGCGTTTTTAGGGCACAGAAATGGTGCACATTTTACAGCACTGTGCGCATCTCTAAAGCCGGTCTAACACCGCAAACACCCAAACTTTGTGTATCCTGGAGAAAGTCAGGGAGAAATGAAGATATAGGGATTAAAAAAAAAAAATAGTTGAATGTCAAAAGCTTCAAAAAGCCTAAACTCTTTTTTTTTTTTAACTGCTGAATTTCCACCCAATGTATTCCTTCATGTGTGTTTTCACCTGCCTGGTTTCTTCATCTGTGAGTGAGCAGTATTAACGAATGCTCTGTTCCTCTCATTATCCCAGATGGCGACCTGTCATGCTTGCAGTAGGACCTCCAGACACAACGGGATGAACCGAGACTTCATAGCCACCTTCTCCAAGAGCCACAGCACACCGGGGAGCCTCGGCAAGTTCAAGACCCCTCAGTCGGGCAACAGGTCCAACATGACCACGCCCAAGACCCCGGGCAAAGACAAGACTCCGGCTAACACGCCAAGGTAAGACTCCGCCCGCTTCTGTTTAAAGCCGCCCGGCTAAAGTTTGAAGGTATGATGTTTCTTAGATAACTGTGGATGCCTTTGACATCTGAGAGGATGATGTGTTGGGCCCGCAAGTAACTAAATTATTAGGTTTTTATCTATTCAGCATGAAAGGAAATAGAGCTAAGAGCAAGGTTTTTTTATTTTTTATGGGTATAAGACGATGTTTTGGCTCCCATCAGACTTTGAAGCATCCCTCTGAAAAACAACATCCCCGGCGAACTGCATCTGAACTTGTCTTTCTTCTTTCTCCCTCCAGATCCTCCATTTCTTCCAGCGTTTCGGCGTCGAGCTCGACGTCCTCCAAGTCGTCTTCCAAGTCGTCTTCCAAAACGAAAAACTGGGTCGTCCAGCGTCTCAGCAAGATCCTCACGCGAGAGGACAGCCAGGGAAGCAAGAAGGGGGGCTTGAAAGATTTCCTCTCCTCCCTTTGAAGTTCTCCCAAATGAACTTTTTTCTGCATCGGTACCCTTAAAGACATGGGAAGAGTCCCACGTCGGAACGTGTTTACACCGGAGGCAGGGGGGGCGGGGGGCTTTAGAAACTAGCTTCAGTTCCCGAGTCGTTTGTGTGAAGGGCTGTGGTGATTTTGGGCCGATTGAAATGGCGCTCCTGGAATCCTTGTGGTCATAACCGGGAGCATTAAGCCATTAATTAGCTAATGCGTCTTCTGCTGAGTCACCGGGGATTTCAGAACATGCCGAAACTGCAGCGATTGTTTTGGAAACGATTCCTTATATCTCAAATTGCTGCTGCGTTTGTGGCACGAGAAGCTGGTTTAAATTCCAATATCCTCCATTTTTGTAGAATTTAACTCCAACATTTATATGTGAACTTAATGTCGAGTCCATCTTTAAGCTGTTTGTAGTTTGGCTCAAGATGGCACAGTGACAAAAGTATGTGTATATTATATATTTTGACACCTTTTCTTTTTCTATGTGCATACAAGTTCAGAGATTGAAGCCACTAATGATTTTTATTAGTGTTTATGGTTTGATATAAAACTCGCCAGGTGCTGTTTACATTGCACATCTTCACAAAAGCTGTACAGAAAGACTTTAGATTCACAGTCGTTTAAAACCTTACACTTCACTTTGTCTGGCTATGTGTTTGTGAAAGGTTGCTATTTTCATGGATTTGATAAAAGCAGGAATATTTCATTTGTCTACTGCATTTTGTACTGCCTGATTATGTACTGCTTGTTGTAGATGTGCTGCTCGGTGAACAGCATGTGATGTTTAAATCCTGAAATACCTCATGTTTATCTTCAAATCACTGTGATACTCTTAAACCTTTTCACTTTATTAAACTGTGATGTCTATTCTTACTCTGAAGCTTTTTTGTCTACTCTGACATGTGCTGATCATATGAATTTAAATCCATTGCATCTGCTTAATCAAATTCAGGGTTTCTGCCATCTGGTGAAGGGCAGAGCAAACCCTCAACAGATCACTAGTCTATCACAGGACCAGCACAGAGAGGAGGTGGAAAATAATGCATTCTCAGGCTGGGAGGAAGCTATAGCACCAACCTACACGGAAAGAATATGTAAACCACAATAACAGGAATTTATCATTGAACATCCTGTAAAATAAAAAGAAATGTATTTTTAAAGAGTGTGGTTATGGAAATTTTACTGGAAAGTCTTGTCTGGCCAAGTGTCCAAGGGGCCTCTATTTGAAATATCTGTTTCCTGTTACAGAGTCACGCAATGACAGAAATAAGTACCACAAAGACACAAAGAAAAATAGCATCAGAAGGACATCACAGAGATGACAAATGGCCACAAAGATCAGCGACGTGACAACACAAGGGCAGAGTTACCACAACGACATTTAAATTACCCACATAGAGACGCTGAATGATTTAAAATAAGTTTAAAAAATCATTTTTAATACAGCAAATGAATGTCACAGCTCTACAAGCACCACAAAGACAGACAAAAATAATCAGCATTTCTGTTTTAATGACTGAGCCACTTCACTGTCTCATATTCAGCGAATATCCTGTATTCAAAGTAAATTATTTGTCAACGTTTAATGCATCCATATCATCGTCTGAACCTTTAAGCGTTTTCGTGGAAGTGGCATCTTTGCGAGAACAGAAAGAAAAAGTTCGCATTTTAAGTTCCCAGATGTTGAGCTGCAGTACCGGCTGCGTCCGGCAGGTGGCGCCGGGCTTTAGCCACCGACCCCCCCGGACAGGAAGTCAGGCGGCGCGGGCCACGGCCATATTTGCTAGCCGGCTGTGAGCCTCCGCGTCCGGCGTCCAAATGCTCGGCAGAAACCGTTCGCATGCGCTAGAAAGTGGCTGTTTTTTTCGCGGAAACCTAAGGGAAGATGTCGAACAGAAAGCGAGCCAGTGAAAAGGACGAACGACGAGAGCACAAGAAGCACAAGTCGTCCAAAAATGATTTGGAGAAACTCAAGACGCACACCAAGAAACTCAGCCAAGAGGTCCAGCAGCTGAAACACGTCGAGACTTTGTGAGTAAATCTAGATTAAATGCATCTTTGTGAGCCAACACATTTACACACTTGGTTTAACTCCTATTTAGGAAGGTATTTAACACCAACTTTGTGCTAATGAATGGCTTTTTGCTGCATAACAACCTGTCTGTCGGTGTTGTTTTTTTCTCCGGTGCAGCTATGAGAAACCTCCCCCGGGACTTATTAAGGTAACGCCGGGTCGGCCCCCCCCCCTCCGGGCTGTGGGTGAACCCCCCCCCCAGTCCTGTCCTGTGTGACTGAGTGTTGCTGTGAACAAACAGGAGCATGAGGAGAAACCGGAGGACTGCATTCCGGCCGAACCAGGAAACGAGGCGGCCCGGAGCTTCCTTGCGCATGCGCCCACCAGAGGGCTGTGGATGCCTCTGGGGAAGGAGGTGAAGGTGATGCAGTGTGAGTAGCCCCAGCCCCAGGATGACCCCGAGGTGGACGTTTCCCTGCCCTGAAAGAAGGCTGAAACTTACCCAAATGTTTGCTCATCAAACACAACTGAAGTCATGATACATATCTTTCTTGTGTGACAGATAAAACAATAGTTTAGGATGTCATCGCATGAGCTTTCTTTGTTTTTTTAGTGTTTACCTCGTGCACAGATTTCATCTTTATTTGTGAGGTTTGGAGGTGCTGGAGGAACCTGTGTGGGCGGCAGCTGACGGGCGCAAACGCGTCCACACAAACGCACAAAACTCCATTGTTTTGCCTCTCTGACAGCCGTGATGGAGATTACCTTCTGTCTTCTCCACAAAGAGATGGCTGTCATTAAATGAAGCGTCCTTTTTCATGTTGTCAGCCCACACGTTGTGCAGTTTGAGCCATGCGGGCGCGCCCAAACACACGTGTGCGCGGGGACACGCGTGTCCACATATGTGCGCTTCTCCCTCCAGATGTGTGTTTTTAACTCGTTTCAGTCCAGTAAGAGAAACGGACTGAGCTGTTAACAGCTAAAGCAATAAAGTTATTCACTAAATCTGCCGCTTTATACAAAGCAACGTGAACATTTTCTGTAAAAAAAGTAGATTTTTAAGGTGGATCTGCTGTGATGTTGAGTGTGGAATGCATCCTGCTGCCTTGTGAGGTGATAAAATGTTTAGTCTACTGATCAGGCCGAGACCCTGCCAGCTGCCTTCAACACGGCTCGGCGGTCAGCTGTAGAAAAAAGAGCGCGGCCGGAGGTAGAAAGGGTCAGCTGACGCCACGTCTCTTACAGGCTGGAGGTGCAAACGCTACGGCCACCGGACGGGAGACAGGGAGTGCCCCTTCTTCATCAAAGGCAACCAGAAACTGGAGCAGTTCAGAGTGGTGAGCTGCTGGACAGGCAGAGGCCGTCGGGCGGTGCTCTGAGCCAGAAGGTCAGGACCCCCCCCCCCCCTCCTGAACCCGGGGCCGTGTTGCTTCTCCACTTTGGGGGGGGAGAGGATGTCTCACAGCTGGCTAACGGAGCGAAAGCGTCCACAGGAACCCCCAGCCTCTGCAATAATTAGCATAAATGCAGCTTTGTCTCTTTTTTTTTTTCATCTCAAATGTATGAAAAAGTGCTGACTCGACGCTGTTGGATTTTGCTATGTGGCCAGTTTTCTGCATCGGAGTGGAACGGCATGAATTTACATTATTTCTGATCTATTACAGGCTCATGAAGACCCCATGTATGATATAATTCGGGAAAACAAGCGGAACGAGAAGGAAACCAGGTATGTGTGTGTGTTGTCGTGTGTTTTGTGTACAAACCGCGTTGGCTGAGAGAAGCGTGTGTCACTTTAAAAGCCTCAGCAGAGCAGCGGGGGGGCTCCAGTTCCCTCTAAAAAAAGCAAAGCGTCTTCCAGCAGGGTGCGTTAGGTTCGTTCACCTCGGCGGGGCGGTTTGTTCGGGTTTCGCTTTTTTTTGGTTTTGTTTTGTTTCCCTCCTGCAGTTTGTTCGTAGAACTGGGTGTAAATTGAGCTACAGCCGCTGGAGTTTTAGCTTAAAAGGACGCAAGATCTTCTCCATTCCTGTGAGGAGCTGCTGACAGTCTACACTGTCAGAAATGGGCGAAAACGTCCTCTGCTGCCCTTCTGTGGACAATTTGTCTGCGTTACAGTCGATGGACTTCAAATTCTCTTCTTTTATTTTCCCTAAAAGACTTTCCTTGCCAAGCTGTAGGAAAGAACACCATTTTATAATTGTTATTATTGTATTTGGGTCTTTGGGTTGTTGTTTTTTCCCTTTAACTGTTCTAGTTTAACAAAAGTTTTAACAAAAAGAGGCAAATCTGTCTGTATGGCTAAACTGTTTTTTAAATAATTCTCCAGAGAATTGAGCTCCTCGTTGTCAGGTTTGCTGGTGGGATTTTTTTCCGTGACATTCGAGAGCTTCATTCTGAGGATCAGACCCGTGTAAATCAGGAGTTCTGGGCGGTGGAGCTCCTCTGATGACCGGTGAGGGACGCTTCATACCAGTCCGTCTTTTCTTCCAGAGTCTCTCCATCTTTCATAAAACCGGTTAGCTTATTTTAACCTTCCAGCTCGGTTTCCTGAGCTGAAAACAGGTGTTTTTCCGTAGCGTGATAGGATGACGTTTCTGAGCTTTCCTTTTCTTAACGGTGGACCCGGTTTGGGTGGAGGCTTCTTCTGGACCCTGTGCTGGGTCCGGTCCAGTGGCAGGACCAGCTCATTACCCGACGCCCCCGCTCACCTGTCTGCTAACATCTGTCCTCTCATGCCCCCCCCCCCCCCTCCCTCCTGTTTCCAGGATCCAGCAGCTCCAGCAGCTGCTCCAGGACACCACCTCCTCCGACTCGGACAGCTCCACCTCCACCTCCTCCTCCTCTTCCTCTTCTTCCTCGCACCACCACAGCAAGAAGACGAAAAAGAGGAAGGATAAGAAGAAGAAAGACAAGAAGAAGAGAAAGAGGAAGCGAAAGCACAAGTCCTCAAAAACCAGCTCGGACTCAGACTGAGACCCTCAGACTGGAGCCACTTGTGGGCTGTGAAGTGGGTCAGAAGGCGTCCTGAGCCTCCTGTGAGGGGAGAACTGAGAGATGAATCCTGCTGGATTCATCTAAATGGCGCTGCGTGCTTTGGCTGGGCTCCGAGGTTCAGCCCGCTGGTGCATGTCGTCTGAACAAGAGCCCGAAGCCTCACGGGGGGGGGGGGTGGCCACGAAGAGATCGCATTTCCATCAACAAAAACGACTGTTCTGTGTCCAACGCAAAAACGTCTAATTTTTGGGGTTTGCAGTTTGAATGTTTTCCACCAAACGTAGAATGTCTGAGGGCTTCTGCCTTCACAGAAATGCGTGGAATGCTCTGAGGTTGGAAGAGTCTTATTTGCTCTGCAAAGCCACCGAAACGGGGAAGGAATGTGTGTAAATACAGTCCTGTATTCCACAAATAAAGAGTTCTCTCTCTCCCAACTGTACCCAACGCTACCACCCAAAAACTAGGATGTTTGGCCCTCAAGCGTCGACTTCATTCAGGAGTCATGTCATGTTTATGGTAACTTAATATGTAGATATATTTAGTTTGTTAAAAACACTGGTGGTCTTGGCAGAAACTTTTGTTTTTGATCTCTGGATGATTTCCTGGTCTGTTTTACCAGGTTTCTCCCGTCTCCTAACGAGCCCGATAGTGTGCTACGGTGGCCCCACGGGGAAGAGGCAGAGCAGATTTCCATTAAGATTGGAGTCCAGGGCCCTGTGAGTAGTCCTGTGGGATGAGTTTGGACTATGGTATGAGGCATTTTCCCAAAGATGGCTCAGTCTGGAGGATGCTTCTTCTCTGATGTTACACCTAAACTGTCCACCTTTTCTCTGGCCTGTAAGCTGAGATAAATCAGCCCTGATGAAACGGTCCAGCTTCCCTCCAGTGAATCTGTCTGATGAGGTTCAGGCTCAGAGGAGGCAGGGCCACGTGGAGAAAATGTGCCCGGTGGACTCTCTTTATTGAGGCCATCTGTCATCCGGGACGAGAGGCAGGTTAACGTCCTGGCTGAGGTGGAGCTGTAGCAGAACTGAAGGCTGGGAGTGCTCCCAACAGTTTCACCCGCTTTAGCTCCTAAGGACCGACGCTGTGCGCGGAAAGGTAACCACACAAATTAAGCTTATAATGGAGCCTCGAACGGGTTCCTGGAAGGAAATGCAGAACGCAGTAAAAAGAAAATGACATTTGAATGAATAGAAAAAGCAATTTGCATTGAAAAAAAATTCAGATTTTAGGGGAATGTGATTTGTTATCCATGATGAGGAGGAGAGACCATAAACACACCACAGGAGGCCTGTCCTCATTAAGCTTCAACAACAGAAGGGCAGGTCTGAGATTAAGCTGACAGACTTCTGGAACAAATTTCACACAAAAATAAAACCCCCTCTGAATGATGG